AATGAATCAGTTACATCCATGATCACGGATCCGGTCCAACAAGACTCGGCTCCCTCCGGTCCCATTCAACCAATGAAATGGAATGGCATGAAATGGGGGTCAAATCTTGAAACCCATATATTTTAAGCTACGCTATTTTTTAATGTTATTCTTAATTTAAAGAGGCTGTAAATTTTGCAATCCAAAGGGATTCAAATTTACAAAGTGACAGAAATTGGTGGTGATTTGATGTTAAACGAAAAAAATGTTGACTTAGCGCAAAGATGATATGGAAAAGAAAGGTCAAAAGTATGTCTCACCTCTTTTCTGGGTTGCTTTTCATTTTTCAACCACTCCCCCATCATCTTGAGGCACGTGAGGTGCCCACGGAGGCACGTGGATGAGAATGAACGCATACCCAGGCGAGATTTCTTTTCTTTCTTTTTTTTTTTTCATTGGGACTCACCAAATCTTGCTTTCGCAGCAGTTACTCCCCCCATTTCTTTTTGTAGGTTCTATTTATGAGAAAAATTGTTACTTTTAATTTATTTTTTTATATCAATAAAATTACATTTGTTATAATTAAACATCCTAAATTACTTTTTATAATTTTTTCATTTATAATCATAAAAAAATAATTAATAAAAATTTAATTAACATAATTAATAAAATACATTGTAGTCTAATTCTTTTATTTTTAGAGAAAATTAATATAATTAACTGATTTTTTTAAATTATGTGATATAATTTTTTTCTTTTACAAATAAAAATGAAGAGAGTAATTTATAAGATATTTTGTGGGGTGACTATATATTTCACAATGTATGTGAAGTTTTGAAGAAAATAAGTACTCCTTTTAATTTTATTTATAAGTCATTTCTACTAATTTTATCAATGCCAAATTGCCAATATAATAAAAGTAAAAGGAATAAAAGTAATTAAAATTTTAAATATAATTGTCAAATAAAAAGTAAATAAATAATATGATATTTTTTTATTTTTTTCTCTTATTTTTTAAGAATAGTTTAAGAATTTTAATTTAAAAATAATTTTATTCATTATGATTTATAAAGTGAATTAAATTATATTTTAAAAGATGATTAATATAGAAGAGCAACAGGAATGAACTGTGAACAGGGTAGATTTGAGAAAGAGGGGCGGTGCGTTTTGGGAAGCACAGAAATCGAAGAGGGAGTGATTACTGATTTGTGAAAAAGGGCCTTTGAACTCTGCACCTGCAATCGTCCTCTCCCCTTTGTCACTCTCAACCCCCCAACACCCTTCAGCTACACGCCATTCACTAAACACCGCCTCGCGTGCCGCCCTCTCATTCCTACGCCGCCTTATTCTATTCGATCTACGTCGTCTCTATTTAAAAAAATAAACCATGCTCACAAGGGATGGACAGTTGGTTCTCACATTTGGAATATATGGTACTGAGTTTTTTTTTTAAAAAAAAAATTGTGTAATTTAATTCTTAAGTGTTTTCACAAATCTTTTTCCCGGGACAATTCAAGAAGATGCTGCCATGACTTAATTCGCTGGGATTCTTGCACCCTCATCAATGCGGCCAGCTCATAATTACTGTGCTATTATGAACTCATATTCATGTCGGAAAATGATTTCTCTTTTAATTAATCCTCCACATATTCAACAGTGGTGGCAGTCGTACTAGGTTTAGACAAAGCTTCCCGTCTGATCGCATTGACTTTTCTTCAAACCCCTCACCTCCCCCCCCCCGGCGCCTTTCAATTTCAAACATGGCGTCTTCCCGGACTCACAGCAAAAAATTATTTGCATATGGTTGTAGAGTTTTCGATGCGGCTTGATTTGAATCGGTCAAAATCGCATATAGTTTTTACTAAAGAAATACACACATAATCAGACGCACGCTTTTAATTAGGCTAATGGTGAAGAATGATTTAATAATGTGACGTGATTTGGTATTGATATTGGTGATTATGTACATAAATAATGAAAGGAGGGAAGCGGAATCTGTATCTATATATGCATGACACGCAAGAGTTAATAGACCTGCGAATAATGGTATAGGATTATTAATTTCATGTGCATGGAATATAAAAAAGAAAAGGGGGGGAAAAAGGGAGTCAGAGGAGTGGTTGAGGGCTGAGGGATGAGGAGGCCCATGAGGGAATCGTATTTAATTAAAATAAAATAAAAAAGGTGTTGTTGTTTCTTGTTTGTTTGTTTGTTTGGGATTGGTACTCATAAATAACGAGAGAGAAAAGAGAGCATCGTGTGGCGTGTAGCTTGAAGGCCAGGCGACATCACCGAGGCAGGTTTACCGACACATGGGACGATGGGGTCCACCCTCCTCCTCTTTTTTATTTCAACTGCTTTTCACTCTCCCTTCCCATCCGAGCTTTCCTTTTTTTTAAAAACGCGCGTCCCAGTTCCTCGGCGACTATTCTGCGTCCTCTTTTCGTCCAAACGACGCCGTTTGGTTTAAACAAAGTTAGGCCCTGTGTGAGTGACTGAGGAGTCTACTCTCTGTCGTCTGCCTCGCATTTACATCATCGCATGCTAAGCATCTCCTCATCTCCTCGTCCGTTCAATTTATGAGTTGGTCCTTCTATCACCTCAAATTATAAAATATTTTTAAATAAAATATTAAATATCAATAAATTTTATTAAAAATATTTAATAATTTTATCTTCTTAAAATAAAAATATAAATTTTTAAAAATATCTATCATTTATTATATTAAAAAAAAGAGACATGAGTTAATTATAAATAGAGAAATAATAAATTTAGAATTGATACATTTAATAAAACCTTAATCCATTTAAAGTATCTTATATTTTAAAATAAATAATTTTTTTAAAAATATTTTATAATTTGAGACGGACAGAGTATTTTATATTTTTAAAACTTGAAAAGGCTCGAACATAATCCGACAGTTTAATTTATCTAAAAGTAACTGTGACAGGTAGTGATGATGATGTTAATTGCCAACACCCTTCAACCTTTTCTTTGCTTGTTTTAAAATCAAAATCATATGCAGATTTATCAAACTTTTTTCTAAAATATAGTTATTCTTTTTAATTGTATGAGATTTAACTTCTCCTGCGCAGCATCTAGCTAATGTTTTTTGTGCTTTCTGTTGAGCTTCCTCGCCTTCGAAATTAATTTCCTCTTCTCAACGTGACACCACATTCAATGCCTGTCCTAACTCCACTTCCAAACAACTCCGCCCACCCACTCTTCCCCTGAACTTCCTCGCAAATTAAGTTTACGTCGCACAATCAACATTAATATTTATTATGAAATATTGATTTTATAATAAACCATATGCTATGAATTAAAGTGCAGTTTTCCTTCAAACTACAAGCAAACCCCATGGCCTATACGTTCAACTACTCTCTTTGTTACTCCTTCAATTGATTTACTAATTTATTGGTGCAATGAACTGGTTAAAATTCTTATAAGCAAGATAGTGTGATTCCAATTATGTACCTTCAGACAGCTATTTATTTTTTATTTATAGCCACCATGTTGACGTAATCCTGATTTTTTGAAGCCTAATCAAGTTTGGTATTGTATTGTTTGGAAAGGATGCGATCTCTTCATCTTCATGGAATGGCTTTTATTGCATGCCTTACTTTTTTTTTTTTCATGGCAGATTGTCAGTTGAAGATATGGTTAGATTAGAATGAAGTTATCGGTTTTGAGAGTTTCTATGTTTTGATTAATAAGTCATTTTGTAGAATGTTAGGAGTAATTAATGTATTTATCCTAAATATAAGTCACTTTGTTGATGAGATTTAAGGCACATGAGGTACTTGAAGCTACCGAAAATCATTCTTAAATCTAAGACCATTTCAGTCCAAAAAAACTGAAGACCATATTTTGTTCGAGTGCAAATTATTTATCTGATCTGCACAAAAAAGCTAGAAAAAAAAAGATAAAACATCAGGGCCAAGAAGCCCGCTATTCAAATTATACTATTACAATCAATTATGATTCTGTATCTGAGATGATAATCTCATTATCCATATTATGAACATATATAGTCTCATAAGTATAGCTTCTCGTAATTAGAAAATTATAAAAATGATGCAATGAGCTCCCTTAACATCACACACGCAAACACACATGCCCCCTCTAGTTTTAATTAGAGGGTAAAAGTTTACTTTGTCCTATATTTAGGAATAAGATGGCATAATTATTTTTTCTTCCTAGCCTTGCCACTCTTTAACTATAACAAATTGTTGACATACTTTTAATTTCCATATAGTAGTACTTTATTATAATAATTAATTTTAATAAAAGACAAGATTAGACAAAGTCACATATTTCTGTATCAATGACTAATACATTCCTTAATAACAGTAAAATTAGTTAACTTTGTTTTAGAATTAAAAGAAAAGAGAGTATATAGACATGAGATACTCCCTCCAGTCTCATTCATAAGGTACATTTTAAAATATTTAGTTGATCTCATTTATATCATGATATGATTTTTTAGATAATATGTAAAAATATTTTAAAAATTATCCTTCATAAAAAATATGTCACTTTTTAAATTTATTATATAAAAATATATTTAAAATTGTGCATATTTTTTTATTTTTTTTAATTTTAATATAGGTGAGATTGGTAAAAATATCCAATGAAGAAGCGAAATGAATAACGTTGGATGTGATGGGAGGCTGGCGTTTAACGATTAGTTTTATATACATTTGAAGCCGGGGACCATCAATTTTTCCGGAGCAGCACTTTCTTTCTTTCTTTCTTTTGTTTTGTTTGTTTTGTTTTGTTTTTTTTTTTTTTTTTTTTGACCAAACCCGGAGCAGCACTTTGAAAGGGGTTTACTTGATACGAGTAGATTGGTAGAGTCAATGGAGTTACAAGGACACAACATCATCATAACCTTATAATTAATCTGCCAAATCCAACGGTGGATATCATTGATTTTGATAGCTACACATTCACTGATTCACATACACACAGCCCCATACGTACAGAGAGAGAGAGAGAGAGAGATGCATGGAGTCGTGGTCATTTCTGGAAGTGTGAAAACCAGCTGGTAGGGTCCTCTCCTGCTCCCTTTTTTGTCCTTTTCGACGTTTTCATTTCACTCTTCTTCTTATAACCCACCCTCTCCCTCTCCCTCTCTATTCCCCTTCATCCCTCTCACTCTCTCCATACCCACAAAAGTGACTAGCTTTTACTATGTCTCTCCCCCAGCTAGGGTTGAAGATGATGAAGAAGAACCCCAGATGGAAGCCTTGTGTTTTGAGGGGAATGTTGTCTGGCTCGAGGAGGACGTGCCCTTCATCTCCACGATCGATTTACTTTTTATTTGTCGTCGTCGTCGGACCAGGCTTCATTCCCCCCAATTATATGTGCTTCTCCCACTTCATTACTTGAAAGGGTCTTCTTAATTTTTAAGGTTTGATCTATTATATTCCTCTACTCTCTCTCTCTCTCTCTCTCTGTGTTCTATTAAAGTTTTGTTTTTTACGGCGTTATCGGGAGACCTGAATCGCGGGTTTTTGTTTTTAGAGCAATTGAAGATGTGGGTAATGCGCAGATTGGTGTAATCATGACCATTTTGACCAATTTCTCTGCTTCAACAAAAGGCTCTCATCATTGCCTCCTTTTTCGGATTTCATCACTTTCTTCTTTTCTCTCGGATCAAGTTATGAATCATGATGATGGTATTTTTGTTGTTGTTGTCAGGTTTCTTCGATCATCATTACCCTATCGATGAGCTCTTCTTCTTCTTCTAATCATCACGAATTCCAGTATCCGATCGTTCTGTTTCTGGCATTTTTTTTTTCCAGATCCGGCATGCCCAGCTCAACAACTCCCCCTCCCCCACCTCTCTCTCTCTCACACACACTCAGAGAGAGACTATCTTTGATTTTTAGGGTTTCATGGGCTATGTGTAATTTGTGGCCCTAGTCTCAACAAGTCTTGCTAGCCATGGATGAACAAGCAAATGTAGACACAACTTCTATCAGTCATTTTCCGGATGTCAACTCTTGGCGACATAACTGAAGCCTAACATGATTATAATTAAATTGAGTTCAATAATGAACCATGTGCGTGTATTCTCCCCATGATTAGCGATGGCTATAGACTCATAGAGTAGGTTGCTTTGTATTCTCTGCCATCTTCCATCGGATTCCCCAACCTTTTCTAAATCACAAAAAAAAAAAAAAACAATGTGGAGATCTAAGCATATTACAGCTATGCACAGTCCTGTTATTTTTGCAAAATCTTTAACCTTTATAATTAATCAAGTCCAATAATCAACCTTCTTTGTTCAATGTGGTGTCTCAAAAACTTCTGTTAACTTTTTTTGTTAATTCTTATTCTTTTGCTTAATTTTCTCCTCAATCTGTACCAGATTGTTTAGTAATTACCAATAGCTATCATGGATTTTATTTATGCGCATATAAATGTTTATTTGAAGACATTGCCACTTTGCCTTGGCTAGCTTTGATATCTCCTCATTAGACATAATATTGAAACTCTACATTACACGGCCCTTGAAAGGAAAGTCATTTTTTAACTGTTCCATGTACAAGATGGCGTCTTCTCACGGGTCAAGTTTCAAATTCATATTTTGAGCTTTAATTTAAAAACATGCGCTCCAAAATGGAAATGACTTACATCTTCAAAAATCAATTTTGAATTGAAGAAACAACTATTTATGTTTTAAATATATGCTTTATTAAAACATACTGCTGATAAATGAGTGAGCTTCATTATGCAAGCACACAGTATTGGCACTGCCCAGCAAGCATTTTCTGCCTTGCATTTGTATTGGAATCAATGATTAAGGTAAAAAGGGTTTTTTCTGGTGTTTCCTTTCACATAACCTTTTTCACTTGCTTTTTCTTTTGTGAGCTGCAACACAGGGGCTTGGAAGAGACAATTTATGCTCAAATATTATATAATATAATATAATATAATATAATAGGTTTGAATCAGAATGATAGACAAAGAGTCAGCACCTACAGCTATATAGACACATGTAGGGAACCCAATATGACACTAACACAGTCTTATTCAGCACTAGCTATATCTACTAGCTACTTTCCTTTCTCACACTCATTCTTGCACGCAATATGTTTACTTCAGTGAGGCAATTATATATCACCCATCGTCTTACTTTGTTTTATCAACGATCAATTAAAAACACTATTTCTCTACAACTTTCCAACTCTGAAAATATGATGCTCATATGACCTCACTATGAGCCACAAAACAACAGCTTTTAAGTACACTCTGGTACTTAACTGCAAAAAATATTAGCAAAACATTACAGATACACCAAGCGCTTTAAGTAAGTAGATCTTAATCAACAAGTATATATATATAAATATACATTACCGTTAATCAATTTCACCATGTTATTTCGAACACACACACACATGATATGAAAGTGGTGGGGATGTAGTGCAGTAATTTGTGTTGTAAAGAGAAGAGAATGTGAGAGAAAGGTGTCTGAAAAAGGAAGTGGGTTTTGGGGAAATGGAACTTTTTGACCTTTGCAGAACACAAAGTTGAACGTACTGCAGGAGGGAGGGGGTAGCTTTGTGTTGTCCCCATGCATGCATGCATACATCATGAATGAATGATTCGTATGAGAAAAAGAAAAGAGAACGGGCCATGAAGTGTTAAATTCTCTTCTCCCATGCATAGAGATGCAGCTTTTCCGGGCACAGCCTTTTTCCTCGAATAATTGAAACTGTGAGAATCATGCAGATCACATATCAAAGTGATGACCCCATCAACTTTTTTCAAAGTCTTTCGCACTGTTTGGATAGGAAGTTGATGCGCGACCTTATTGTGTTGTAGTCTTTGCTTGAATAGTTAATATTAGGTGTACTCCTCATTCCCCACATCTTATATGTCCATAGCCATATATAGCTTATTAGGTCGGAATATTGAATCTGCATGACGTTCTTAATATTCCTCTGTAAAACGAAGATGTATAGTTAAAACGAAGCGGATGCAAATCTACAATCAAGATTAAAATCTTGTAGTATTGGGTGCCGTGCACTTATTTTTAATTTTCTTTTAAAGAAAAGCGAAAGACACTCTCTGAAGATTTGTTCTGTTTAAGAATAGTAGAGAGAGTTACAATTGAATTATATCCTTTTGACATATTCGGGTGGGATCCAGGACCAATCAGAATCTTTTCTGCTTTTCGAGTAACATTTGAATGCTTTTTAAATGAAGTGAGATACAACATTTTAAAAAAGTAGTGCCAGAAAATACGTTCTTTTTTTTTTTTTTAAAGATTGAAATCCAGACCATTCTAATACAATTTAAATAATACACACCACCAGATCGCATGCTGAGTTTGAGTACATGAGTTGGATCTGGTCTGGGAGCTAGGCAATGTTGGATTTGACCTTCTCTTTTTGTGTCATCCCTTGGAAACTTGGGCCCTCATCCTGTTCTTGATCATAAAGGTCAAATACATCTTTAATGTTTGTTAAAAGTGGAAGGAGACCAGGCCCAAAAGGAAAGATGATAGTCTTGCACCTTGGTGGGAACTAATTATTACGCAGCCCAAAACACTAAATTGCTTGATGTTTTGCCGACCTCATGCATGCCAAATATTAGTCCTTCATAGAAGTGACAAAATGGAGGAGTGAGTGGAAGTCACGCAGCTTATGATGGAAGAGCTGACTCGATGGATTTAAGGACTTGGTCATGAATCACGAGTAAAGCCTCAGCACTATAATCTCCTCCATGTTCCTCGTCCCCATTTATTCCTAAATTCCTCGTCTCTCATTATCACGCTTCATGCCTATCCATTCCTCACCATCCCTCCATTCCTATCACACATATATGAAACTCTGAAGCACAACTAACCAAGAGGGTCATCTTGTTGTTGTTTGAGCTTGAGATTAATGAGGCGATCGATGGTGAAAAAGGGGGAGGAAGTTCCGAAAGGGCATGTGACAATAAAAGTGGGAGGAGAAGGAGAAGTGAAAGAGAGGATAGTGGTGCCAGTGATGCAGCTGAACCATCCTCTATTTGGTCAGCTCTTGAAGGAGGCCGAGAAAGAGTATGGCTTCTCTCAGGAAGGAGCCATTATCATCCCTTGTCCCCTCAACCACTTTAGGTACGTCCAAGCCTTGATCCTCCGGGATACTTCTCTCCACAACCACCACCTTCCTGCTGCATGCTTCAGGCTTCGATTTTAAGCCCAGTCTCTGCACAAATCAACACTTGTACTACCTCTCTCTGCTTTGTGTTGCTGTACTCAAAAGCTTGCCGTTATGTAAAATTTCACATATGATTCACATGTCTTGTTTCTCTTTATCTCCCTTTAGTTTATTAGTCAATAGCATTGACAAATCTCTTGCAATCATCCAACCTTTTATTCAAAAACAAGATAATGTTATTTTTTGGTCTGTTTTCCTTTGCCTATGTACATCATAGCTAATTAATTAGTAATCGTAAAGCTGACAAAGATTAATCTAGTTGATAAAGATCGATTTAATATTGCACGAGAATATGGATTTTAATCTGGTCACTAATAGCATTTGATTTGCATGTAAAGTATAAAATGTCTCTATAAATGTTATTAACCAGAGTTGGCTGCCTTGCGAGCCAGGGACGATGATCGATGGACAGTTGCAAATTTTTGGCTTGCAATTTGTAATATATAAAAAATAATAAATAAATAAAGACGGAAAAAAAAAAAACACCAAAGTACTCGGAGAACATCCCATCAACTCCATTAGATCCCATTTATGGTCTTACGAGAAGGTATATCTTCTGTTGTGATGCATTCGCTTAACGATGCCTTCAGATTTGTTGGCCCAAAAAAAAAAAAAAAACAAATGTCTTCAGATTTTCCTTTGCAAGCAGCTCAAGGGCAATTACTTGTTCCTAAATATTTCAGAACCCCACGTCAGAAATTGATCTTCTTTTACGCACGTTACGAAAGGCAGAAATTTTCTTTCTTTTGATGACTTTCTATATTTTTGCCTCATTGGATGGAGAGGACACAATCGCTGGTGTAATGTCAGACCAAGTTACATTCAAATAATTGCCTTAACATTAAAACTCGGCAAAAAATGTTTACTCATAACTTATATTATGTGCTGATAACTCCTATGCTATCAACTTGTCTATCATTCCAGCCAGAGTTATTTGCACATAATTCAAAACTCAAGGGGTTATCTATAAAAACAAGTTCAAGGAATACATGATCACCAATTTGTCATTTTTCATTAGTGGGAAAAAACCTAATTAATGATAGAGTTTAACTGAACAAGTTGCAAAGTTTAGAGAGTTCTTTGTCAAGAAAGGTGAGGCAATTTATTGACATATAACTTAAAATTAAAAAAAAAGTATGATTTATAGCCTTTATACTCACTATTGAAAATTAATGATGTTAATATTGATATTAATATTTACAGCTTGGGTAAATATTTACACATCTAACATTGGATGCGAAAGGTTGGTCATTGGTCATATGGTCCGCCAACTTTAACATCCCTTGCAAGCTTATAGATTATGATTCTGACACTGCGTGACCTCCAAAGAGAATCCAAGCTGCAAGTGCAAAAGGAATTAAATCTCACACCAAATCAAATATCCAGAATTACCATCGACAGATCCCAGCTGTCTCTGTTCTGGTCAATGCTAACACTTCTTCATACTTAGAAGCATATACAAAGCCCCAAAGCTGCATGATTGGACCAGTGCTTCGATAATTAATATTCTATTTGGGTAAATGTTTCAACAATTATTTTTTTTTTGGGGGGGGGGGTGGTTGGGGAGAGCGGTTGCATCTACCTCTGCTTCCTTAACTTCAAAGTCCTGAGAACGTGCAAGGCAAGGATTTCCATAAGTTTCTGAGACTGAACTAGACCCATTCAATCTGAAGTACATATCATACAGTTTGAAAAAGGGACGAAAAAGAACATATCAGGTAAATGACATCAACGAAAGGCAGGATAATAAGTTTAATAGGAGTGAATAAAAAGATAGCATAATGCAAGATAGAGTTCTTACAGATCACCATCCAAATAAAGCGCAAAATGACCTCCCCCACCAATCGCTAGAAAGTCAGTGGTGCAGAGCGTGAAATAGCGGTTTACCCCTGCAACATTGTGCTTAAATTAGAATACAGCTGGTTGTTAGCAAAAATATAATAAAATAAGGAACATAACTAGTCAATAGAAGCATCTTTGGAATCCCAATCCAGGGCATAAGTGGTATGCTAACACCTTATGCCATAGTGTCACATGTATTGCATTTCAATAAGTAGATACCTGTTGGACGATATACAGTAGGATGGCCAGGGGTGTCTGAGAAGACAAATGTATTGTTTGTTCCCTGCACAAAATCTAATGTCAATGATATATATAACATGCAACAACAATGAAAATAAGTTGGCTAAAGGAAAAAAAAAAAAAGCAACAATGCAAATAAACTAGAGAACATTACTAATATAGTCTGTAGGGTCAGAGTTAAGGCAGGACCTGATATTTTCTCTTGTTTGATGGCTCTAGTGGTGCTTCAACCAAGCCACCAAAAACTGCACCTTTGCGATCTCCAACAACCTGGAGACGATAATATTGTTTTGAGACAAGTGAAGAGCTTACCCCGACAAATTGAACGACTCAAGAATGCAATATCTTTGTTAACGTACTAACCAATGAAGGTTAGCGTGTTAAACTGCACCAAGCACTGTAATTGAGTGGTCAAATTAAAAATGAAGAATGACTTTAAATTGAACAGCACGGACATTTAAACCAGCAAGCTTATGAGCATGGGACATAAGCACAGTAAACTATTGCGACCATTGAATAACAATGAACAGGACTCTTAGAATGGTTGATAACGGCATAAGGTTCAGCTCAGCCAAACATCCGTACCAAGTCATCAAGGCCAAGAATAGGAAGTGTCGTAGACATTGATGTATGACAAGATCACCACAAAATAATATGATCTGGTATTAAATGTTTAAATAATATTTTGAAATAGTAATCACAAGTAAAGAAAATAAAAACCAACTATGATGCTCAGTGATATACTCAATTTGCCAATATAATCCAGTCTAAGTAAATATAACGTTGTCCAGTCAGAAAAGATAATTTATGCCTTTCATTTTTTAAGTTAGCAGAATTAAATCGATTCACACTCAGAATTTATATTGCTCAGGGGTTAGTAAACTGTACCAGCAAACTCAAGCCAGGCCAAAGCATGCTTCTCCTGTAAAGAGTTGAAAGAGATATGCCATGCCTCCATGTACTGCAGGAAGTGAGAAGAGTGGTCATAAAGAGACTTCACAATCATTATTTATTTATAACAAGATGTTGGAACTTAAAAATAGATAGATTCTTGTTTGCACCAATAAATCTTCACTCTCGTATTACCTATATAGCAGCATCCATTTCCTCCCATGAATAAGAGCTGGAAGAGAAGCATAAAGAACATTTCTTGTTTTCTCTGAAAGGAGCACTGAGGGTTCAGAAATTTCCGGGAGATCATCCGATGGTACGTGCTCTTTCTTTGGTTCAACAAGCCTCATCTCAACGCCAGATAACTGAGAACCATGTCTACCATCTAATTTCATCTCAACATCATCCGTGTGCTCTTGAGTGCGGAATCTAGTGATTCTTGCAGCTTGGTTGATAGCTCCACGAAGTGATTGCTTACCCCTAGATAACAAACTTTTCTTTCCACTATTTTCCTTCATGGCTGAGTCGGATGGAGGGATATCAGTTCCACTTTTATTGTCATTCTGCCCATCTGAGTTTGCATTATCTCCAGAATCTGAGGAAGACAAGAACGAATAGAGGAATGCAGAAAAGGATGAAGTATCAGGGCCATCAAATAAATTCTGGCTGCCACCTCGATAAGTTGACTCCAAAACAGTTACATTTGATATGTCCACATCTTCCTGAGCAAGCAATTGGCAAACAGATTTTAGCTGGAGATACCTCATAATTTCAGTTCAGCACATAATTCCCAGCAATGAAAAATAGAAGTCACATAAAGGGAAAGAGAAAACTAGCAACATGCTCTATTTGACCAACGAAAATGATATGCTGTATCTATAATTCAGTAATGGGTAAGAGAGAAAAAAAGTCCATAATCATAGCCAAGTAATCAAAAATCAAATGGAAAAGAAGTGGGAAATGGAAATTACATTGCACAAAAAAGATCACAGATTATGACCAATTTGGATGGATAAAAAGGCTAATGAATTGATCAGGGGAAGGAACAAGCAGATGTTCAAGATAAGAAATAGAGAGAAAAACGGAAGGCAAGAACTTACAGGAGGAGGAGGAGGGGGTTTAGAGGGTTTGTCAGAGATGGGATTGAGTATACCAGTGGTGAGATCCGATACAAAGTGAGCCGCTTTGCTCCGAAGTGATTGCTTTCTTCCCATTTCTACACACAGCGGATGATTCCATGAAATATTTCCACCTCAAAATTTTGTATTGCGAGCACAATCACATTGGCATCGCCTTTAGACACAAATTCCTAAATTCCATCTTCCACTTTTGCTTCATTTCGGGAAAATTGACCCCCAGATCAGAAATATCCCGTAACCGGCGTCGAACATGGGAGAGAGTATCGTTGAAGCTATTGAATTTCTTGTTGTAGGTGCAGCAGCGCTTTCCAGTTGGTGTGTCATCCAGCACCTGCAGCTCGGAATAGTGATCAGCCCGCTTATTTGGATCGGTTTGATTTGGATACTTTATCCAACTCAAGCGAGCCCTTTTTCTTCTGAAGCCGAATCATTCCATTTCCACGTAATAATTCAGAGTTTCGACGACGTTAACGTTGATGAAAGTTGAAGGTAAAAAATTGATATTGCGAGGTAATTGACATGTTGGGGAAGATGAAATCACGAACGTAAAACATTGACAACATAACGCGTGTGCCTACCTTTCCCCTTTCCCCTTATATTGTAAACATGGGGGAATATAGTACAACATACAACTTACATTAACGCATAATAATATCAATAAACATTTTTTGGATTACTATTAATTAACATTTTACAATCAAACTTCATCTGTTCACATATCAAAGACGCCGAATTAGGCAACGTAAAAGTTACTTTTTATATTTATAAGTTCAAGAATAGTAACATAATTCATTAAATGATACTCCTACTAGATATATATATATATATATATATTTTAAAAAAAGTGCATTCCCTTCTGCAACAGGACCTTAATCAACTACGAAAATTAATAGTTGACCAATTTTAATCCATTTCAAAATTAATTCAGATATCGTAGGATTTTGTTACCCACATTTAATGGTTTTTGGGCCTGGGCCCCGTATGTTTGATTGAAGGAAAAGGGGATTAAAATAAGGCTTTGATTCTTATAGTTTCGGTCAACACTGGTCAAGGTCCCTAAAATTTGTAACCATTAAGACTTCAGTCTTTCGGCCGTTAACAGTGCTAAATGATATTAATGTGGCCCATCTGAATGCCCAGATGTCAGACCAAAATCAAAATTCCCTTCCCCGAGCAACACGAGAAGGAAGACATGGGAACTCACAAGAAGGATATGCTTGCGTGCTCCATTTGGAATCTGGTCAGCCCATTCTTGCCGATGCATCTTCCTCGCAACCAGAATGCTTGGATCATAGACCCTAACAAGTGCTGGACCTAGGAGGATCCTCTACAGCCAAGAAGCTCGTCGATTTGAAGTCTTCTGAACATGACATAGACATCGTAGAAAGCATTTTCTGCTTCTGCCTTGAGGTCAGCTACGATGGCATTTACAAGGAGGATCACTAACTGGTGGAAGGTGAGCGATAAAATCTTCATATTCATCTTCTAGGTCTAATGGACATGAGAGGCGTATCTTAGACAGGTTTGACAGCGGCATCGCCTCGGGTTTATAGTCCTTAACAAACTGCTTGCAATCTAGAAGTTTTTTAGCAGAGCTCATGGCTGGCAATTGCCCTTGTCTCCTTTGGATCATAGCCTTAAACGAAAGGTGTTTCTAAAATCCTATTTTTCTAAAATGCACGGCCCCCCCCCCCCTTTCTTTCAAAAATCCTTTCCCGTATAGTTCGTTGGCGGTTCTGAGACTCGGACCCCTCAGTTCGATCTTGTGTGAATTCTGCGTCAGCATTGTCCACACACATCACCAAGCAACCATTCGCTTCTCTCCTAAAGCCGAATTGAGGCTCTGTTCACTAAGAAGGAATATAATTCACAATGAGGCCCAGCACTTTGTCTGGCTTCTGCCATTGATGCAGCCCCTGACCTGGACCCAACAAGATTGTCGAAGCTCTTGCTGAGGTTCAAGAAGTTGCCGAGAAGCATTAGCTTTAAGGCAAAGCTGACGCTATTAATGCCCATCGAAAGTGTTATTGTTGAAGCCGACGGTGCAGTCGAGCCTGGGCGTTAGGGGTGGTTGGGCTGAGATAGATTTTGATTAAATAGATCCGAGTTCGCATGAAAGTAGACTTATATAAATTTTTTTTTTCAAAATTTAGGCATGAGACTACCTAAAATCCAACTTGACTTAAAAGTATGTTTAAAAGCTTACTTAAAGGTGTGCCTTTTAAATAAGCTTATATAATAAGTTTTAAAAGTCTCATATAAATTATAAGATTATTAAATGTTATATATTTACAAACTGATTTGCCAATTAAAATACATCATAAGCAAGAAGACTATCAACTACAACACTAACAAAATTTAAATCAATACATGCATAAATCCAATATAATTAAAAACATAACTAATAAATTGAAAATGAAAAAAAAATATTGATTAAAAGAAATGGTGAACCCACTATATTATAAACTCATCATAAAAAATATGATAAAAAAGAAAATAATCGAGGAAGAACATAGTGCTTCTGAGTTTCAAGTTTTGATTTAGAAAAAAAAATGAGAAGGAGTTGAAGAAAGAGGGTAGAATTGATTACATTCAAAATTTTAAATTAAATATTATGCATTACATATTATATCTACATATATTATATAATAATATATATATGTAAATAGACTGACTTATAAAATTTATAAACCAGGCCCTATAAAAATAAACCTGACTTATTTATCTAAATAAATTTAATCAAAAGTTTAAATTTAACCTGGCCTAATTGGAATAAGTCAATGGCTTGGCTTACTTTTATCCTTACTGGGTAAGTAGACGTTTAAACAGATTACATTGATTTTGTTCAACACCATTGGTTAGAGGATTAATATCTTAACGGTTTCAAACTTTAGGGATTATTTTCTTGAAAAAAAAACTTTAAAGACGTTGATTAGTGTTGGGTGAAACCATAACGGCTAAAGCCTCATTTTTCTCAAGAAAAAATAAAAAGAATTCTGAACAGGGGAAAAAACCAGCAACGGGATTCGAGAGCACAGTACCGAACGTCCGGAGCTGGAGGTTATTGGGGATGAGAGCAGAGACATCAGTTATTTTTTAATACTTACAGTATCGAAACTCTCACCGTCAAGACTCCATGGCCCAATGGATAAGGCGCTGGTCTACGGAACCAGAGATTCTGGGTTCGATCCCCAGTGGAGTCGGGGTCGTTGAAGCTTTTCCCTCCCTTTTGGGTGAACCTTTGGTATGCTTCCTCATGTAATTTCCAGTGAATTGAACTTTGATCCCCTCCCTTGGACATGCATGTGATTTTTGATCATATTTTTTTCTTCCTACATTTGTATTGTGTGGCTAGCCAGTTGATTCAAATAAAAGTGAACTCTGTCATTACCTTTCAATCAATTAACGTTTGTGTTTGCTTCATCCATTGCCTGCAGTGAGAATATTGGATATGTATCTTGAGACTTGGGATGATGCATCTCCCATAATTTGCCATTGTTTCCAAAGTGCTAACCAAAATGGTTGGAAAAGTAATGTAACAGAGATGCCCAATTATATATATTTCTGCCATATTGAAGTTCTTCCTAATATTTGTAGCTCTTCCTGCCCAGGACGCGATAAAATATAACGCAACTGGACATCAACGATCAATGATGACTGAGCATAATATACATGGTTAACTCATGGTACTGTGCTGTCTGGAAATTTCAGTGATTTGTTTGTATGGAAGGCAACAAGGATGAGTCATTGAAAGGCATAAAACAGATGAGAAAAAGAAACTCAATTAATTATATTTAGTGGTTTAATTATAACAAAAACAGCTATTGAAGCGGCTTGAAAACTGTAAAGTAATAAACAACATAGAAGTAGTTTGGGTGAGAAAGATTGAGGCCATTTTCATGAGCGCAAGCCGCCGCCGCCAACCCCCCACTACTAAATAATGATGAAGTGTACGTGCATTGAACCTTAATGAAGCCAGCTTTCGTGGAAATTGTTGACATCTATCCACTGATCTCGCCCCAGCACCACCAACTTCCATTTTAGAAATCTATATTAACTAACCGGACCATTCTGATTTCATTTTTGTCTTTTTATGTCCTCAACTTATAATTATACATATTTTGTGCTCAATTTTTTTATGAGAAAACCTTATGCACTGATATCTTGCATATTTTATTTTTGTCAATTTTGGCCCTCTTATTTTATTTAAGATTTCAGTTCGGTCCTTTAACTTTGTACAGTGTTTTTTCAATTCTTTAACTTCAACACTTTTAAGTTTCATTTACCAAAAAAAATGTTAATATTATAATTTTAATTGATGACAAATAACTCACAGATGACTATTTTTTTGTTCCATTTCAAAAAATTAAAGTTATAATATATTACCATCTGAAAATACTTTGTTAGCATTATATATATATATATATATAAGGACAATTTATGCTAATTAGAGAGTGAGATTACAAGGCAAAGGAGGAGCTAGGAAGCTGTCATAAGGGAAATTGCAAGAAGAAAATACTTTGCTTACAGGGATTTGTTTAAATTTGGAGATAAAGGCGGAATTTATAGGATGTTAATGAAAGTAAGAGAATGATATAAGTTGTTTAAAAAATGTTAGTAACGCATCACTCTTGTTTGACTAACTCCAAGTTACAGAATTTCCATACTCCCACTTTCTGAAGCGATGCTTCGCAGTTGCTACGAAATCATTATTGCCTCATAATGCTCATCCATCTCTCCAAGTTAAACAAACCAATATAAACCCCTCAATTAATTTCTTTTTGAAAAATCTCTGATCTCCTTTTTGTAAGATTTATTAACAGATAACATGTTCTAGCGATGATATTAATATGCTGGATTGGTGCCAGATCCGAGGGTACTAGTAAAGAATTTAGAATCCATGCTACGTTATCAAGGCACTTGCGTTTGGAATTCGAAGTAACGCCTAACACTTGTTTTGAGAACTTATTCAATACACCACAAAGAAAAAGAAAGGACTTGTTCTAATATTCTACTCGGAGGATCATTCTCTGCATTTTCTTACGTTTGTATTCCAACATCTTTGTATATAACGCTACCGCGCACTACTAATGTCCATCCCATTTAAGAATTTCCTGGGGGACCTAGAGTCTCAGTTTCTCACCCATATACCCGACCCCTTTTTTCACGTTTATTTTATATTATTTGAATTTCATTATTACTCCTTTATCTTTATTAACCCGCCTCCGATTGTACAAGCTTCATGGCTTTTGATATAATTAGATCTTAATCTTTTTACATGATTTTACCGTAGCCTTGTATTAAAAAAAAAACATTCCTTATTGCTACTTTCCTTCTTTTGTATCTTTGAATATCTCGCTTTTAGTTGTACCACCTTCATTTTAAATTATAGCATATTTTTGGAAGAGATTTGGCATCTCAAACCATGAGACATTTTTTACAAAAGTAAGATTTTATTAATGATACTTTTTTAATATTACCATTCTCATTATATTTTCTCTCTTTAATATTTTTTCATAAATGAAATATTTAATAAAGGACATT